TCCAAAATAGAGAAAAGATAACTCATCTTTTAGATTATCTCATGAGATATTCTATATAAAGCTGTTAAATAGCGAGAAACATGTAAAACATTATCAAAGGGATGCATATGCCTCTCAAAAAGATAATCTATACACTAAAAGGATTCACATTACTGTCTCTCTCTCTTTCTCCTAATTTTTTCTCTCTAGAAACCATAGAATAAAAAAACCTATAGCGGCGATTTAAGAGTTTTTCAGGCCTTCCATCAAAGGCTTAGGATTTTTTGTACATACCATGCTTTTGGTAGTAGTACTCAAAAATTAGCCTAGGGATGCGAGCATCAAGTTCTCAGACCATGCACAAAAAGGAATGAGATGATCACATCAATTCAATGGGATAAATCAATCTAAAAAAAGAGCACACACGAGAAAGTAATGAAATGTTCGTATCAATTGCAAGGGAAGAACCGGATCCGAAAAAAGATATAGGGTTTTTGTTCGATCAATTTTTTTCATTTTTCATTTTTTTATGGTTTGTTGCTTTTGAGATTCACCATGGAATCCTACATTGGTATCAGAGCCAATACAACCAAATTTTACCCTTTAAATCTAATAATCAATACGATTGATGTGCAATTTCTTTTCTAAAATCATATTTTATGGAATATTTCTATCCCTTTTTATGCTTTTGTAGGGTAATTTGGACACTCATAGGCCAATGTGGGAGTCAGAAGTGGTATAAGAACACACTGTGCAAGCATATGAGCAAATAGCTCGCACATAGGATGCTTTGGTGAGCCAAAACGTGTGCAGACACGCTATGGCCACCCTAGTCCCGCAATGGTCCACTACGAGGGACCACCATGCTAGCATGTGTAGACGCACACAGGGCTCTAGCCCATTGGTCTCGCGGTGGATTGAAGGGTGCACACTGCATGTGTGGACCCATAGTGCATCCACATGTGAGCATGTGATGGGGCATCATGAGTCACGTGTGAGCGCGTGCACCAACTCTAGTCCCACGTGGTAGACTGGCACGTTGGTTTGAAGGGTGCACACTGCACATGTGAACAGATAGTGCATCCGCATGTGAACATGCGATGGGGAATCAGAAGTCACGTGCACGAGCTCTGGTCCCACGTGGTGAACTGGCATGGTTGACGCAGTCACATGGTCGCACATGCCGACTATGCACATTGCACATGCATACATGTGGTGCTATGCCACACATGCGGCCTATGCACATGTGAGATGGCACAAGTGCGAGGGCTCATGGGCATCTGCACAAACTTAAGTGCAGATGTCGATGCATAGTTAATATGCTGCCTTAGTTACTGAGGTCGCACACCTTATGGTGCGGCCACATCCATATGTTATTTCCATGCGCTCGGCCACATGATTTATGGTGCGGCCATAACCATATATTATTCTAGTGCAGTTGCAACCAAAATGCAGAGGACCTTTTGGTACGGCATTGGTTGTACACTATTAATGTGCAACCTCAATCTTCTAAGGGGCATAACTTTACGTATGGAGGTCATTTTTTGAGAAATATATGTTTTTGAGACAGCTCAGAAAGTTTGATGCAACCGACAGAGTCTCTTCTATTGATTGCACTCATAAAACGCTATTTTAGCCTCAAAAATATATTTTGGGCCCTTTTTTTTTATGTTTCTTGTGTCTTCTTTGCCTATATTTTTTTTGGCAATTTGGTTGCATGTCATATTAGATTATGAATTGCAATTAGTTTGCCCCTTTTTGTGGGATTCATATTTGAGATGTGACCACTCCCTTGATGACAATGATCAAGTGCTTTGCTCTTCAGATTTGGTCCGATGTTGATTACTAGTCCTGGCCCCTATCTGGTTGCATGAACTTTTCAGATTGCTTTGGAAGTACGACTTTTTTATCCTGGAAGACTCAAAGAATTGTTATATACAATGATAATTTTTACGATTACACAACCATGTGTGAACAAACTCGCTTATACTTGTTATTTAGTTATTACAATATTATTTCCACATTCACGACCATAGATTGCTAGGGCATTTCCATGTTTAGATTGCTCATGTCCTCAGAAGGGAAGTATTTGACGGTTGGATCTTTTAATATTTATTTCAAGTGCCTATTCAATGAGAAGGCTGTATTGGAAAATCTAACCGTTGTCGACCCCCCCTTAGGATAGGGCACACTACCTAGGCTTGTCACTAGATAGATACTTGTCGGACATGGATAATAATCATTGTGTACTTCAAGTTTGTCCATCTCTCTCCCCCTATGTGTTCTCTCTCTCTCCCTCTCTCTCTTACATAATGAAGTTAGGGAGTTTCCATCCCTCTCTTTACATGCATTATTTTTAGGAAATATCTCTCTAGAGAATGTCACTTGTGTCCTATTTGAAAAACACCTAACCTACAATCTGTCTAGAAGTAGGGTATCTTTTTATTCTTGTGACACGTATTTACCTTTTAACTTTGGCTTAATAATGTAGAATGGATAATGAATTATTTTTTAAAATAAGAATCTTAGTATAACATTTCATACATTTGTAAGACATACATAAAATATCAATTATTCTAACTCATGATTTTGTGACATTTGATGTCATTTTTGAAATTGAAGGTAAGGAACTGAGTGAATGTTAGATAGTTCATCTCCGGGTAGTTTTGATAAATTTATCTAAGTTTATCATTACCTTTATTTTGCCTTTAAAGAGTGTGGTTTCTATAAGGGTTGCAACCTTAAAGAATCCAATTAAGGCACACATCCAAATTTTATTATAACATGTAATTTTGGTGTAAAAAACTCCTAGGATTATCTCAAAATCTATTTTTATATCTAATTATATAATTTTAAACTCCAAAAATGGTTAGAATCAAGTAGATCTATAAACATATGGAAATCTTGAAAATGGATGATCTAGACAATGTGTTGCAAGATGCATTATTTCTGAAACTCAAAATCTTTTTTTTTTTTTTTTCCATATTCATAGGTCTTGAAGTCGAGAAGATCAATTAGAGGGTTTTTCAACATGAAGATAACTTTTTCCGATGGACTTTTGAGGTGTATCTTTAATTCTACATCTGAAGTTTGCAACCTTATATAAACTTTTTCCAATGTTAAATAGTTGACATATTAATCGTAGTTTGATAAATTTAAAATAGATATTCTATTCTTTTTAGAGAAGACGATGTTCATGTACCCGTATGCTCCAACATTACTTTCAAGGGTGATAATAGGGTCAAGTCAACTCCACCCATGATCCGGTCTGGACCTGCGAGGTTAACCCAGCAGTAGGTTGGGATATGTCCAGTTGATTTGGACCTAACTAGAATTGCATCTAACCTGAACTTAATCGAGTTTGGTTGGGTTCATACCTATCTGTCCCACCATGTATATATGTATATAAATAGGGAAGTTAATGTAAATATCTCTTGATTTTTGGAGTGTTTAAAATGTACCCAATTTTTTAAATCTTTCGATCATGTCTCTTACAAAATCATTATGGTCATCAAAAGATGTCGATCAACATTAGAGGATTTATTTTTTAATTTCATGGTCATCAAAAGATGTCAATTAACATTAGAGGATTTATTTTTTAATTTCATCGCACTCAATTATCTTATCATGAAATATCTCTTGCCTCTTACAAAATCATTATGGTCATCAAAAGATGTCAATCAACATTAGAGGATTTACTTTTTAATTTCATCGCACTCAATTATCTTATCAAGAAATATCTCTTGCCCTTTTTTAAGGTTTGAAGCTATAAACAAGTAAGGGCATTTCAATAATTTTGATTTTGATACTCCTACCTATCATGCTATTGTGGCCTCTTAGGTCGGTCAAACTACTAAAATATCCTTATTTGTCCAAAGGTCACTAAGCTTAATAGCAGCAATTGCTTTTTTAAAGAGATGTTTAAGGAGGCATATGAATGAATTTAAAATAAAAAAGTAATTGTTGAATATTAATTAGGATCCTTTGACTCCATTAATAACTTCATAAGGAGTTTTGACCATTTAAATAATATTTTTTATTAATATATATTATAATTCGACCCATACCTATCTCAATTTGACCAACTGTGTCGGGTCCAGGTTCAAGTCTGAGTCCACCTAGAACCCTACTAGGTCAAGTCTCGGTTGGAGTCGACCGGAGTCACACCTCTCCGGGCCTGATTAGCTTGAATGTGAACCCAGTGCAAGCTCCACCGTCCAACTATTGTTGAACACTAGATGTCCCTTAGGGGCAGCACTCATTGTGCCCAAGAGAAGAGAAAGTACACAACGAAACTCTCTTAATGTTCACAAAAAAAAAAGAAAAAAAAAAAAAGAGGGAACGGTACAATTTTCTAATGTTTTATATAAGCCAAGTAATGAATGTCGTGGAAGTTTGAATTTGAGATGAACAGTTTATTGAACAGCCCGAATTGGGTCCATGTTTACAGACTTTTTTTTCAATCCCAAAGAAAAATAAATGTTTTGAATGAGCTTTTTATAAGGCCTAGGCTCTATGAAAACGAAATAAAACCTCACCTCATCCTCATCCAAAAAGCACTTTGAGCAACGGAAATTTTCATGATGGTTCTAAAATCAATTTTTAAAACCAAGAACTAAATTCGAAACTCAAAAAATAGTATAATTATTCTGGATCTATAAACACTTACTTTTAAGATTGAAATAGAAGATCCACATAATTTATTATGGTAACCATATTTTTAGAGCTTGAAATCTTTTTTTTTTCTTCACAAACACCATAATCAAGTCAATATGATCAATGTAAAGGTTTTCTAATGCTTGAATCACAATTTTCAATGAGTTATAAAGTGAGGCTTTACTTACTTTAATCAGGCTTCAGCACTATCAAACCATTTTTCAATGACGTAATTAGGTTCATTCTCATGAATCTTAATCAAGGTAGATTTGCACTTCTTGTCTGTGTATTTCTGCGGATTTCTTTGTTGGGGAGAGAGAAGTGAAAGGGCCATCTCTTATACTTGCCATTATTTTAATCCTCCCAAAAAATGCTCTGCAGGTTCCAAACCCTTCTTCAAAAATTTCCACCATCTTATTATATAGACATGAAATTTAAATGCTTACAGAAAGCAATGCAAAGAAAAGTACTCAATGTTGTGGCCCATCCATCATATCAATCAAATCCCACTCTCTCTCTCTCTCTCTCCATTTTCTTCTTCTCCAAACCAACTTTTCCATGCTTGTTACTGAATGCTCAAGGTTTATTCCCCTTCTCTCACTTCAAAAACCACCCTAAAAAACCACCCACCCTTCCATGAAACCAGCCCCAATTGTCCCAAGTCATGCAAAAGGCCTCTCTGCCTGCACTTCGTCCCTCATTTCAGCCTACATCAACATGAGAGCAACCAATTGGTGAGAGAGAAAACAGTGAGTTGTTTTCTCAACCAAAAGCTTTTCAAAACCACGAAAATCACCCCAAAAACCACCATGTTATGACAGTAGAGAGCCACCAATCCCTTGCTTCACTTGTTTCCACATCAATCTCTCTCTAAGACCTCCAAACCATGAAAGGAACACTTCCCAATGCCTGGTTTTCACCATTTCCAAGCCCCCCTCAAGTACTAACAGTGATGATTCTACTATTGGTAATGGTATCAAACAATGCTGCTATTTCTACACATGGGTACCAACCCATAAGCATGATGAGCCCTTCAGAATATGAGACTCTGTTCAGGATCATGGAATCCATGTCCTCTGATGAGCAATGGAGGCTCTCTTACCCAAACCCATGTGGCCAGGGCTCCTCCTCATGGCCTGGTCTTGAGTGCAAACCAGGCCATGACAATCTCTACCATGTTTCAAGGCTTGATTTTGGTACAAAGCCAAACCCAACCTGCAAAAAAGACGCAACTTTTCCATCTGATATCTTCTCTCTACCTTACCTTCAATCTGCTTTCTTCTTCAACTGTTTCACTCACACCAAGACCACCATCTCAATACCACCAAACCCAAAAGTCTCTCTCTCTCTTCAACAGTTCAGCCTGAGAGCAAACCATGCACTCACTGGACAGATACCATCTACCATCTCTCTCCTCAAGTCCCTTCAAATCCTCACTCTTTCTCAAAACAGCCTCTATGGCCAGATACCACCCCAAATCTTTAGCTTAACGTCTCTCTTGCACCTTGATTTGAGCTACAATTCTTTGAATGGAAGGATCCCATCTCAGATTGGGAGCTTAAAAGTTTTGTTAGGCCTTGATCTCAGCTATAATTCACTATCAGGTAATGTGCCGCAAACAATTGGAGAACTGGGTCTCCTTCAAAAGCTCGATCTGAGCTCAAATTTGCTCACAGGTGGGATTCCTCAGACAATGGGTAGGCTCAAGAACCTGGTTTTCATGGCCCTCAGTAACAACAAGATGAGAGAGAATTTCCCAAATAATATAGGGGAGTTGCAGAGCCTACAATACTTCATAATGGATGATAATCCAATGTCTTTGCCTCTGCCCAAGGAGTTTGGGAAGCTGTTCAGGCTTCAGGAGCTCAGGCTTGCAAATTCAGGCTATACAGGGACTATCCCAGACACTTTCGCAGAGCTTCGGAACCTCAGCAGCCTCTCTCTAGAAAACAACAGGTTAACAGGGACTATACCACCAGGTTTGGGCTTACTCCCTCATATTTATCACTTGAACTTGAGCAAAAATATGTTGGCTGGTGTCCTTCCTTTCGACGGTGGTTTCTTGAGGAGATTAGGAAGAAATTTGGATTTGAGTGGAAATGTGGCGCTCTGTGTTAATGGTTCAGAGGTCTTAGAAGGAGTCAGAGTTGGAGTTGGGGCTTGTGGAAATGGAAAGAATGTGGCTCTTAGAAATGGGTCTCTGGTTTTGCCATTGAAGAGGTCTCAATCTCCTCCTCTACAATCAATCGGTTTCTCAAGATTCTTCAGCAACTGGGTTCTTTTAGCTCTTGTTTGGGAAGTGTTTATGTGGAAGATTTAGGCCTGTTTACTTCTTTTAATGTATATTTATGGCTAGTATTCTTTGGCTTTTGTGCCTGCAAGCTAGTTTTGAGCCCAACATGTTGTTCTTGTGTAGCTATTCAGCTAGAATGGAGAATTTAATCTGCAGTGGACTCTCTCTCTCTCTCTCTCTTATTTGGGGTTTTAACTCTTTGAAGGATATTGCTTAGAGTTAGGCATGGTGTGTGCAGAGAGCACAGATAGAGAGCATATTTGTAGTCAGTGTGCTTGTTGCAATTGAATTTGGAAATATAGAAAATTTGAGATTAGAACATGAAAAGGAAGCACATTTCTTGATATTTTTTACATTTTTTGCTAGTTTAATCAGTGTAACCTTTAATAATTGTGTTTGTACTGCTCGTACTGCTTCTGAAGACGCAGAACATCCCAGGTGGGCCGGGTGTATCTCCCTCCTCATATTTTTTTTTAGGTCTAAAGTGAGAATTTCAAATTTTTTAGGAGAAGGGGGTGGTTGAAGTTTCTACTTTCAATAATTGGATTGATTCCACCGAGGCTCAGGTTTGCATATGGTGCCACTCTTAAACAGTGAAAGTAAGGTGCTCCTCTAAATTTTGAATGGAAGATGTAAATTTTAGTTCCTAAAGTTTTGACAAAGGTTTAAAAATCTATTTTCAGTCTCAATTATGAAATTTAAAGCTTAAAAACAAGGCAGATCGAGATGATTTATAAGTATATAAAAATCTTGAAAATAAACCGTCTGGCGCTTTCTCTATTGTATAAAACTTATATACTTCTCCCTATCCAGCAGTCTATTATGAATAGACGGCTGAGATGGCCCCAATCATGATGTCACGTCTCTATACTATTTATAAAAACAATATTTTTAATAAAATAAAAGAACCAAAATACCTATGAAAGATTCAAGGGTTAATGTTGTCATTATATTTTATCGAAAAAAAAATTTAATATTTTTTTTAGGTACGTCCTATTGAGAAGATGATATGTACTAAATTTCATATTTATACAATTTGTAAAAAAAATTAAAAATGAAATACTAAGGTATCAGATGTAGTTCAAATAGTCAATGACTTGATCTAAATTGGATGCCAAATTTCATATTCATACAATTTTTTAAAAAAAAAATAAAAAAAAAATAATCTAAGACGTCAAATGTAGTTCAAGCGGTCAGTGGCTTACTTGATCTAAATTGGACAGTTGGATGGGGTGAGTATGTCTTTTATGTTATAGGGGATGACTTGAAGTCGTTTCTCTATTCATTCATATATGGGTGCAGCTGGCATACAGATGTATATGTAGCTGTAGAGGTAAGGTGCACCTTCAAACTTTATCATGGTATATAATTTTGATGCAAAATATTCTTAAGATTATCTCAAAATCTATAAAAAATATTCTTAAGATTATGTCAAAATCTATTTTTACACCTAATTATAAAATTTTAAATTTAAAAAATGGTGAAACATATGAAATCTTGAAAATGGACGGTGTAGATAATATGTTGTAAAATGCACTATTTTTTATACTTGAAATCTTTTTATTTTTCATGGTCATACATCTCGATGTCAAGATGATCAATCAAAGGGTTTTTCAATATTAAAACTACCCTTTTTTATGGATTTTTCAGGTGCATCCGTAGTTCTAGATTATAAGGTTGCATCCTTATATTTTATCAAAAAATTGATGCCTCCTCATATAAACTTTTTCCTTCGTATATATCAGGTTGGGATGATCTAAACAACCTTTTCAGATAGGCTTTTGACGTATGCCTTAGTTTTATAATGTAAAAGTGAGAGAGAGAAAGAAGGGAAAGTGATGAAGAACTAATATGTGACATTGAAAGTAGAGAGAGAGAGAGAGAGAGAGGAGGGAGGGAGGGGTAGGGAGGTAGGGTAGTTGGTACGTAGTAGTATTAGTAGTAAATTAAAGTACGTTAACGTAGGAAGACGTACTACGTACGTCGTACTACGT